AGGTGTGCATTTGTATTCTTTGACCGTCGCCGTACTATTCCAGGGGGCCCAAGAGGCTTGCAGGGTGTTTTTGCGGAAGCAGTTTTAACCCCTCTTGGGGGCTGTTCTGGCATCTCTTGAGGTATTTGTTTGTGCCTCTTGGGGAGCTGGGGCCTGTTGGAGGCCTTTGTGGGGGTCCTTGGTGCCTCGAGGGGGCCGTTTTGGGGCCGTCTTGGGCACCACATAGAATGCACTGCGTAGGTTGGACTGCGTAGATTGCATTAAATCGGTTGCATCCTCTTGGGCCGTTTTGGGGCCCTCTGAGGCCGTCGTGGGGGCCTCTTGAGTGCCTCTTGGGCCATCTTGGGGCAATCTGGGGGGCGTCTTGGGCCGTCTTGGAGCGTCGGGAAGGCGAGACGTTGTTGATGCTGAAGACGTCCGTTTTACCAAGGGATTTCGGCGATTGGGGTGTCTTGGGGGCTGTTTTGACGTCTCTTGGGGCCTTTTTAGGGTCTCTTGGGGGCCTCTGTGTGGGTCCTTGGTGCTTCTCGGGAGCCGTTTTGAGGTTGGGCCGTTTTGGGCGCGTCTTGGGCTGTCTTCGGGCCCTCCTGGGCCGTCGTGGGGGCCTCTTGAGTGCCTCTTGGGCCGTCTTGGGGCCATTTGGGGGGCGTCTTGGGTCGTCTTGGAGCGTCGGGAAGGCGAGAAGTTGCTAATGTACGTTTTAGCAAGGGATTTCGGCGATTGGCCTCTTGGGGCTCCCTTGGGAGGCCTCTTGGGGTGTCTTGGGGCGAGAAGGGGGCCTTTGGGACTGTCTTGGGGACATGGGCGTCTTTTTGGGCCAGTTTGGGGCCCTCTGGAAGCCATCAGGAGCCGTCTTGAGTCCTCCAGGCGCGCTCGGGACCCGGCGGCCCCCAGCGGGACGCAGGTCTAGCCTGATCAGTTTTCTCTGTATATAGCTTGACAAACCAACAACACACACCCATACCCATAGAGGGGTCGGAGAGGGCTATGGGTGTGTGTTGTCGCATGGGGGTCCCCGCTCGAACGGGAGCGTTCCCCAGGGTCCGACAACCCGCACCCATACCCATAGCCAGTCCTCCTCCCAACGACCCCCTATGGGTATGGGTGTGTGTTGCTCGTTCGTCATAAGTATATTTATCGTATCAGCAAAGCGCTACGTGTAACGGGGAATCGGACCCAGGGACCCCAGGGCCGCGACCCCGACCGCAAATCGGTGTGCCAGGGGCCCCAGATGGGGGCTCCCGGGGCGCAGGGGGCCCTCTGAGATCGCCCGAAGAGGGCCCCGGACTGTCAGGCATCGCCCTTCCGGACTGCCAAAACGACCAGTGACTGTGGAGATGACCCCACAAGTAGCCCCATACTTTTCAAGAGGCCTCTCAGACGCCCCAAGAAGCAAGAAGCCTCCAAGAGGCCTCCCAAGAGCGCCCGAAGAGGCAAGACTCGCTGATTTTCAGAAGCTTTTTGAACTATTTGCGAGTTTTCGCCTTTTCAGTTTCCCGACGCTCCACGACGGCCCGTGAGGCCCCCAATGTCCGCTCCAACTCAGCCCAAGAGGCCTCCAAGAGGGCCCCAAGACGGCCCAAGAGGGCCCCGAAACGGCGCCCGAGGCGTCCAAGACGGCCTGAGAGCGTTCCAAGACGGCCCCAATAAGGACACAGGAGGGGTAACCCGAACCGAGAATCCGAGCTTCCACTTCGAAAGGCTCCCCGGAGGGCCCAAGAGGCCCCCAAGAGGCCTCCCAAGAGCGCCCGAAGAGGCAACAGTTGCTGACTTTCTCTGGGTTTTTGAAGGTTTTTCGAGTTTTCGCCTTTTCAGTTTCCCGACGCTCCATGACGGCCCCAGAGGTCCTCAAGACCGCTCGAGGGAAATCAGTGACTTTCGCCTTCTCGTCTTGTCGCTTCCGATGGGCTGCTGAGACCTCACGATCGCTCCCAAGAGGCCCCAATGAGGCTCCAAGACGCCCCACCAAGCTCCTCAGACGCTCGAAGAGCCCCCAAGACGCCCCCGAGAGGCCCCCAAGAAACCCCTACAACTTGTGGGTGACTCCTCACGTTGCATGTGTGCGTTCGCATCTGCACGCAACAGTGAGACTGTGACGGGCTGGAGCTGGCTAGAACCTAAGCGCGCGCGAAGCGCGCATGGCTGTAGTTATTAATAATACCAAAGCAACACTAAGAAGCTTAACACTAATACTTTGACTGAGACAATTACTAATATTTATACTCATACTAATATTAATAGTAATACTGACACTCATACTAATACTACTAATAGCAGTAAAACCAATAATAATATGAGTAATAACGACACAACAACAGCAACAACCACTACCTTCACTACTACTACTACTACTACTACTACTACTACTACTACTACTACTACTACTACTACTACTACTACTACTACTACTACTACTACTACTACTACTATCACTACTACTACTACTACTACTACTACCACCACTACTACTACTACTACTACTACTACTACTACTACTACTACTACTACTAACTACTACTACTACTACTACTACTACTACTACTACTACTACTACTACTACTACTACTACTACTACTACTACTACTACTACTACTACTACTACTACTACTACTACTACTACTACTACTACTACTACTACTACTACTACTACTACTACTACTACTACTACTACTACTACTACTACTACTACTACTACTACTACTACTACTACTACTACTACTACTACTACTACGACTACTACGACTACTACGACTACTACTACTCCTACTACTACTACTACTACTACTACTACTACTACTACTACTACTACTACTACTACTACTACTACTACACATAGTCATACGAATAATAAAGGTACTCATACCACTCACATAAGCAATACTAGTATCAACAGTATTCTTTCTCACTAATACAAATTTACGAATCGTATTATTAATACCTACAATAATACTAACGCTACTAATAACACAATTAATCATGTTAGCAGAACCACTGAAAAGCATATGATTGATTCCCCAATCAGAGCTTGCCTCTGTAGGGGTCCTAGCGGATTATTCTCTTGCACAGGGTGTCTGGAGCTCCGACCACTTTATTTCGGCACCGCACCCCCCCCTTCATCATCATCATCATCATCATCATCATCATCATCATCATCATCATCATCATCATCATCATCATCATCATCACCATCATCACATCACCCATCACCATCACATCATCATCATCATCATCATCATCATCATCATCATCATCATCATCATCATCCACATCATCATCATCATGCGCCCCCTCCGTCTCAGCGCCCTCCCGCGGCTCCAGCGCCCGCCCAGTGCCCCCTCCGCCCCGACCACTTTATTTCGGCACCGCACCCCCCCCCGCTCCGCCCCCTCCCCCGCGCCGTCTCAGCGCCCCCCCGCGGCTCCAGCGCCCGCCCAGTGCCCCCTCCGCCTCGACCACTTTATTTCGGCACCGCACCCCCCCCCCGCTCCGCCCCCTCCCCCGCGCCGTCTCAGCGCCCCCCCGCGGCTCCAGCGCCCGCCCAGTGCCTCCTCCGCCCCGACCACTTTATTTCGCCGCACCGCAGCGCCCCCCCCCTCCCCGTTCCGCTCCCCCCTCCCCCGCGCCGTCTCAGCGCCCCCGCGCGGCTCCAGCGCCCGCCCAGTGCCCCCTCCGCCCCGACCACTTTATTTCGGCACCGCCACCCCCCCCCGCTCCGCCCCTCCCCCGCGCCGTCTCAGCGCCCCCCCGCGGCTCCAGCGCCCGCCCAGCGCCCCCTCCGCCCCGACCACTTTATTTCGGCACCGCGCCCCCTCCCCCGCGCCGTCTCAGCGCCCCCCGCGGCTCCAGCGCCCGCCCAGTGCCCCCTCCGCCCCGACCACTTTATTTCGGCACCGCACCCCTCCTCTCCCCCGCTCCGCCCCCTCCCCCGCGCCGTCTCAGCGCCCCCCGCGGCTCCAGCCCCCTCCGCCCGACCATTTTATTTCGGCGCCGCGCCTCCGCCCGCGGTCCAGCGCCATCCGCCCGACCACTTTATTTCGGCACCGCACCCCCCCCCTCGCTCCGCCCCCCTCCCCCGCGCCGTCTCAGCGCCCCCCCGCGGCTCCAGCGCCGCCCAGTGCCCCCTCCGCCCGACCACTTTATTTCGGCACCGCACCCCCCCTCCCCGCTCCACCCCATCCCCCGCGCCGTCTCAGCGCCCCCCCGCGGCTCCAGCGCCCGCCCAGTGCCCCCTCCGCCCCGACCACTTTATTTCGGCACCGCACCCCCCCCCCCGCTCCGCCCCCTCCCCCGCGCCGTCTCATCGCCCCCCCGCGGCTCCAGCGCCCGCCCAGCGCCCCCTCCGCCCCGACCACTTTATTTCGGCACCGCACCCCCTCCCCCGCTCCGCCCCCTCCCCCGCGCCGTCTCAGCGCCCCCCCGCGGCTCCAGCGCCCGCCCAGTGCCCCCTCCGCCCCGACCGTTTTATTTCGGCACCGCACCCCCCCTCCCCGCTCCGCCTCCTCCCCCGCGCCGTCTCAGCGCCCCCCCGCGGTTCCAGCGCCCGCCCAGTGCCCCCTCCGCCCCGACCACTTTATTTCGGCACCGCCCCCCCCCCCGCTCCGCCGCCTTCCTTTTTTGTGCAAGAGCCATGTCACACGTGCCACTTGATGGGTTAGGTGAGGTTTGTCACCGATTTCGGTGGCCGGCGGCCGGGCGCCCGGGTGCCCGGGTGCCCGGGGGTGCCCGGTGCCCCAGGATTTCGGTGGCTGGTGGCCCGGTGCCCGGGTGCCCGGGTGCCCGTGGGTGCCCGGGTGCCCGGGTGCTCGGGGGTGCCCGGAGGTGCCCAGGGGCTCCCTGGTACCCTATAGCCACATAACCCTATAGCCTTATAGCTCTATAGCCCTATAGCCCAATAGCCCAATAGCCCAATAGTCCATATAGCCCAATAGCTCTATATCCCTATAGCCCTATAGCCCTATAGCCCTATAGCCCTATAGCCCTAGAGCACTATGGCCCTATAGCCCTAGAGCCCTATAGCCCTATAGCTCCAGAGCCCTATAGCTCTAGAGCCCTAATTATAGCCCTATAACTATATCCATGTAGCCCTATAGCCCTATAGCCCTAAGGTCCTATAGCCCCTATAGCCCAATAGCCCATTAGCTCTATATCACTATACCCCCAATAGCAATCTAGCCCATATAGCCCCATTGTTCCAACAAACATTCTGATTGGGTTTTTCTCCGGTATCATAATCTATTCTATTAGCATGATAGTAATACGAATGATATGAATAAGACAAATAAGAGGAGGAAGAGGAGGAGGAAGAGCAGGAGGAGGAGGAGGAGGGGGAGGAGGAGGAAGAAGAGGAGGAGGAGTAGGAGGTGGCGGTGGAGGAGGAGGAGGAGGGGAAAAATATCAAGGAGGAGGAGGAAGATGAGGAGATGGAGGAGGAAGAGGAGGAGGAGCAGTGGGAGGATCGATGAGGATGATCGATTCTTTGTCCCCCTGCCCTCCCTCCCAGGATCTTCAGGGCAGCGCCGGAGCCCCGCAGGCGCTGGGGGCGCCGCGGGCGCTCAGCCCCAGCAGCCGCTGTCCCAGCGCGGTGTCGAGCCAGCCGCCGCGCCGCCGCAGGCCCCCGTCGTCGCCGCCGCGGCGGCCCTTCGGCGGCCCTCGGCGGCCCTCGGCGGCCCTCGGCGGCCCTCGGCAGCCCTCGGCGGCCTTCGGCGGCCCCGGCAGCGGAGCGGGCGGCGGCGGCGTCGCCATTTTCGCCGTCGCCCGTCGTCCGTCGTCATCTTTGCCGTTGTCGTTGCCGTCTATCGTCGTCGTGGTCCGCTGTCGCTGTCGCTGTCGTCGTCGTCGTCGTCGTCGTCGTCGTCGTCGTCGTCGTCGTCGTCGTCGTCCTCTTCCTCCTCCTTCGGCTGATTGTCCTCCTCTTCCTCCTCTCCCTCCTCTCCCTCCTCTTCTCTCTCGTCTTCGTTCTCTCTGGTCCTGCTCCTTCCCTGGTGGAGGTGAAGAAAAGGAGGCGTATGTGGTTGAAGCTATAAACATCGAGTGTACGCGGTGCCAACTCATGCCGCGTTTTGAGGGCCAGCCGCCCTCCGTCTCAGTGTTGGACGATTTGACGGCGAATGCGCGCGGCGCTAAGATTAGATCCGCGCTTTGGAAACTAAGCCGCCCTGTACAATAGTGTGATTTTCACGGCTCGTCGACACGTCCAGTGGAGCGACAGGCAGGAGTTGTTCAGAAAGGGGCGGGACTGGGGAGGATTGGAGCGGACGGGGAGGCGGGAGGCGGAAGAGGAGGAGGATGAGGAGGAGGAAGAGGAGAAGGAGGAGGAGGAGGAGGAGGCGGAGGCAGAGGAGGAGGAGGAGGCGGAGGAGGAGGAGGAGGAAGAGGAGGAAGAGGAGGAGGAGGAGGAGGAGGAGGAGGAGGAGGCGGAGCTGGAGGAGGAGGAGGATGAGGAGGAGGGTGAGGAAATAGGAGGAGGAGGAGGTGGAAGGATGATGCTGCTGATGATGTTGCTGATGCTGATGCTGATAATAATGATGACGACGATGACGACGACGATCATGATGATCATGCTGATGATACTGATGCTGCTGCTGATGATGATGATGCTGATGATGATGCTGCTGATGCTGATGCTGATGATGATACTGATGATGATGATGATGATGATGCTGATGCTGATGCTGATGCTGATGCTGATGATGATGATCATGCTGCTGCTGATGATGATGACGATGATGATGATGGTTGTTGTGGTGGTGGTGATGATGATGATGATGATGAGGAGGAGGAGGAGGAGGAGGAGGAGTTGGAGGAGGAGGAGATGCAGGTGGAGGAGGAGGAGGAAGAGGATGAGGAGGATGATGATGATGAGGAGGAGGAGGCGGGGGGGGGGGGGGGGGGGTGGAGAAGGGGGAGGAGGAGGAGGAGGGAGGGAGGAGGATAGACGCGCAGAGAGGGCTCCTAGCTCCGACGCGCCCGCCCGAGGCCGCCGTCGAGTGCGCGGGCGCCGCCAGCGCTGACGGTCCGCGGCCTCACGTCTCGGTCTTTCTCTTGTGCCGCCTTCACTCTCTTTTTCTCTCTCTTCCCCTCTCTCTCGCTCTCTTTCGTGCCTCCCTCCCTCTGGTGCCTCCCTCTCTGTCACCCTCTCTCTCTCTTTTCCTCTCGCTCTCACTCTCCGTCTCTCCCCGTCTTCTCTCTCTCTCTCTCTCTTCTTGCGCTTCCCTTCCCCTCCGCCTCTCTGTCTCTCTCCTGCTCCTTCTCTCTCTCTCTCTCTCTCGCTCTTTCTCGCTCTTTCGCGCTCTCTCTCTCTCTCGTGTTCTCTCACTCTCTCGCTCTCTCTCGCTATCGTGGTCTTTCCAGACATCGGGCGGACAGGTTCACGTCAGAGAGAAGGTGCCCGACCAGGTCTTTTTTGTCCCTGCGCGCGTTCGTCCGTCTGGGAGTCGTCCTTCCAAGGGCCACGCTTGGAGGCCACGCTTGGCGGCCACGCTTGGGGGGCCACGCTCGGGGGCCACGCTGGGGGGCCGCGCTGAGGGGCCACGCTGGGGGGCCACGATCGGAGGCTGCCATTGGGGGGCCACCTCTCTTCCTCGCAGCTGCGGTGGACTGGGCATTCTATCCAGCTGCCTGCGGCAAGTCCCGCCACTGTGCCAGCCCAGCATTCTGGGTGGCGACTGTTCGAGAGTGCACGGGAGGCCGTCACATGTGACGCCTCGTGATTTGTGATGAGGATGATCAGGATTCCGAGGATACTTCAGCGGAGGAAAGACCACCCGACCCCCAAATTGACATTATTGGCATTTACTAAAAGGCCCAGGGCGTTTACTGAACAACCCTGACGTGTTCTATTCCTTTCTTGGGTGGCTCTACTACACGGCTTCGCTTGTTAGATTCCAGCAGTCTTCATTACATGGCTGCTCCCTAATGATGGAAGTGTTTTTTGATGCTGATTATGCGGAGGAGGACGACGATGATGATGATGACGACCGATGACGATGACGATGACGATGGCGTTGACGATGATGCTGCTGCTGCTGATCATGATGATGATGCTGCTGCTTATGATGACGACGACTAGGATGATGCTGATGCTGCTGCTGATGGCAATGCTGCTGATGATGACTCTGATGCTGATGATGATGATGCTGATGCTGATGTTGACGACTGCAACGACGCCACTCATATTGATATTGATGTTGATGAGGATGGCGTTGGGGACGACGATGACGATGACGATGAATATGCCGATCATGATGATGCTGATGATGCTGATGATTACGATGATGGCGGTGATGATGACGATGACGATGATGATTATGGTCATGATGGTGATCCTGCTTATGATGATGCTGCTGCTGACGATGATGATGATGACGAGGATGATGCTGTTGAAGATCATGATGATTATGCTGATTCTGTTGATGATGTTGATGATGCTGATGGTGGTGGTGATGATGGTGATGGTGATGATGATGATGATGACGCGGCTGATGATGTTTATGATGATGATGACGACGATGATGTCGATGCTGATTCTGATGCTGATGATGATGCTGATGATGATGATGATGCTGATGCTGATGATGTTGATGATGCTGCTGATGGTGATGCTGCTGATGCTGCTGCTGCTGATGATGATGATGACGGCGATGATGATGATGATGATGATGATGATGATGATGATGATGATGATGATGATGATGATGATGATGATGATGATGATGATGTTGATGATGATGATGATGATGATGATGACGACGATGAGGATGATGATGATGATGAGGATGATGATGATGATGTTAATGATGATTATGATTATGGTGATGACGATGATGATGATGACAACGATGACGATGACAGTGACGACGACGACGAGGAAGAGGAGGAGGAGGATGATGATGATGAAACTTGTTTGGGCCGTCTTGGGGCTGTTTTTGCTTTTTGCTTCCTGTCAGGCAATTTTGTGGGTTCCTCTGGGGCCCTCTTGGTTCGTCTTGGGGCCCTCTTGCGCCGGCTTGGGGCTCTCTTGGGCCGTCTTGGGGCCCTCTTGGCCGTATGGTTTGTGTCGGGTGGCCGACGTGGGGCCGTCTTGGGCCGTCTAAGGGCCTTCTAAGGCCGTCTTGGGTCCCACGGGAGGCTCTCTTGGGTTGTCTTGGAGCCGTATTGGATGCCTCTTGGGCCATCGTGGAGTCCTCTTGGGCCATCTTGAGCTGACGGCAACCCGAAAAGGCGAGAGTGCGAAACTCATCCAAAAACCCAGCGGAATTCATTGATTTAGACTTCTTCGGACCCTGTTGGAGGTCCTCTTGTGGCCCTTTTGGGCTCTCTTGGAGGCATCTTGGGCCGTCTTGAATCAATATTCGGCCGCGCTGGGGCCATCTTGGGCCGTCTTCGACGCATCTTGGGCCATCTTGGTGTCCTTGGTTGCCTTTGCGGGCCGTCTTGGAAGCTCGGGACGCATATCCGTCCTTTTTACGAGGGATCGTGGCCTGGGAGGCCGTGGAGTGCTTGGGAGCAGCGCCTGGGAATGTGGGAAGTGCACGATCCTCGAGCGGATGCGCGTGGGATGAGGTGTCTAGGACTTAGCAGCCATGCGAGAAGTGCACAAATTTTGAGCGGGCGCGCATGGAATGAGGGTTCAGGCATCAGCTGTCATGCGGGAACTGCGCTAACCTCGAGCTGACACGTGTGGAAGATGGGTTCAGGCATTCGCTGCCATGCGGGAAGTGCACCATCCTCGAGCGGGCACGATGGAATTGACCTCGGAGAGTGGGGCGCTGCACGCAGCTGTCTGCGGGGGTGAGGATCTTTTAAGTGAATGTAACATGAGCTCTACCAGACAGACCTTGGCATTGTGATCGTCTTCTTATTCATTGTCTTGCCGATCGGCGCAGGCCCTCGCCCTCCCCCAAGGAGTAGATCTTGGCTGTTTTTGGCGCCTGCTTCGAGCAGGTTGAGACGCCCCCCACGGGACGCACTGCTGCAAGCAGCCGCACTGAGCAGAGGTCCGGAGCCAGATCCCCCCCCCACATTCCCCCCCCCTTTTCCGCCCAATGTCGAAACGCCGAAGAAGAAAACGTTCTCCGAACTTCCTATCAATCAACCGAGGGGGTGACAAACGTGAAAGCGCGGCGCGGCCAACCCCCCCCGGCACCACCCCCCCGCCCCAGTGGGGCAGGGAACGAACCCCAGCCCCCCCCCCCCCTGTGCACCCCTGCGAACGCGCCGCGGCCAACGCCCCCCGGGCACTCCAGGGGGGGGCGCGTTGGGGCGGTTATCAAGCGATCCAGAGTTCACACTCTTCCACGCCTCGACGTTCCAGGAGGCACGGTGGCGGAGTCGATCCTGGAAATAAGCCGGGCCTGTCTTTCTACAGGAGGGATACATTCAAAAACAATTAATAAAACAGTCTGGGGACTATTTTCGGGGCATTTGTTTGACCATCTTGGAGTATCTTTTGACCGTTTTTTATTCTTCGTCGAAAATCCTCCCTGTAGGGGGACAGGCCCGACTTAACTCTTCCACGCCTCGACGTGCCAGGGGGCACGCTGGCGGAGTCAGTCCTGGCAGGCGTTCCCATCCCGCTCTCCCAGGGCCACCCGCGGGCCCCCGGGGGGCCGTCGAAGACGGGGTCCTGCAGGGCGGGGACCTGCCCCGTAGGGGAAAGGGCCGCCGCGGGCGGACAGGGGCAAGCCGTCGGAGGGGTGGTCCTCTCCTTTTTTTTTGTCCCTCCCTCCCTCTCTGTCTCTCCCGCTTTCTTCCTCTCTTTTTCTCTTTTTCGCTCTCTCTCTCTCTCTCCCTCTCTCCCTCTCTCCCTCTCCCTTTCTGTTTTTTTCTCATCCTTTCTCCCTCTCCCTCTCCCTCTCCTCCTCTCTCTCCCTCTCTCTCTCTCTCCCTCTCTCTCTTTTTGTTTATTTTTTTCTCTCCTCCTCTCTCTTTTATATTCTCTCCCTCTCTCTCCCTGTCTCCATCTCTCCATCTCTCCATCTCTCCCTCTTCCTCCCCTTCTCTCCCACAGGCTTTGTGCTGCCCCAGATCCTGGCCCCCAAGGTCCCCAGACGAGGCGTCAGGAGGACCAGAAGAGGCCGAAGACGGTCCGAACCCTGGATTGTTGATCCTTGAGTGTGGGTGGACACGGCGCCGTGCGAAGCTCGCCGTGGCGGCCCTGCGGGGGACCTTCAGGGAAGCGGATGGAGGAGCCCCAGCCGGGAGCCTCGCCGAGTGGAGCTGCTTCTGCGCTGCACCTGCACTGTGCTGCTCCAGGTGGTGCGCTGGGATGCGGCGCTGTGCGTCGTCTGGGCTCAAAGCCCGCGGCGCTCTAAGGATCCACTCAGCCACTGCGGTGCCAGAGAGAGAGAGAGAGAGAAACAACAAAGTGGCACTCTCTGCCGAGAGAGCGCTTGCTCAGGCGCGGCGGCAGAGAGCTCCACCTGCAGCCCTGCGTGGGGGGGCGCACGCAGTGCATGCGCATGGGCTCGCCCTGGGGCGGGACACACGTGGACCTGTGGGACCACGTGCTGGTGCTGACCAGCGTGGCGACCAGACAGGCCCGCCAGGTCCTCGGCTGCGCCGTCGCCCACTCAGCAGCAGCGCCATCGCACGGGGGGAGGCGTGCCTCCTGGAGGCACCATGCGGCAGCCTCTGCCGCCAGCGCCCCGTGCCAGCTGGAGCTCCACCACACCGCGTGGGCCACCAGCACGCGCACCGCTGGCGACCGCCGCTGCGGCGCGGGCCCGCTGCGCGAAGCCTCGCCCACGCGGACACCCCGCCACGGCCATCGGCGCCATCGGGTCATCGCATTGCTCCATGGGCAGGCCGAGGAGGATGAGGAGGATGAGGAGGCCCTCCCCTCCTGCATCCTCCCATCCTCCGTCCTCCAGCGCTGGGCGGTGACGCAAGTGGTAAGGTGTCCATGCCACAAAGCGCCACCCGCCGTGCCGCTCTTGCCCTCGAGCACGCGCTCAGCGACGCCGCGCGTCACATCACCACCTCCGCCCTCCTCCAGGCGCCAGCCGCCGCACCCCGCTCGGCACTGCGAGCGGCCCCGCCTGTCCAGTGCAGGCGGCGTGGAGGAGGCCCGCGGGCGGCCCGGCCACCGTCGGAGTGTGGCCTGCCATCCGCCGGCAGCCACTCGGAGACCTCCTCGTGCCGCACGGGCTCGGCGCCGCGCTCCGCAGCGCTGCCGCCTCCGCCCCTGGACGGCGCCGCGCCGGGAGCTGCGGCGGCCCCAGCGCCGACGGCGCCGCGCCCTCCCTGGCGGCAGGCCGCCAGAAGCTGCGGGGGCCCCAGCGCTTGGGACTCCGTCGCCGGCTGCAGAAAGGCGGCGGTATCCCTCGCGGCCGCAGCCACACGGGCGGCATGAGCCTCCGCACCGGCACCCACGCACCGCAGCAGCGACCAGCGCGCGGAGCTGCTCGACGAGCGCCGCGGCGTCGGCGTCGCCGCCGCCTTTGGCGCCGCCCCCGCGTTGCTGCAGCGCCGAAGTGGCGGCCGCGAGGGTGTCTAAGGCCACAGCGGCCCCGACCTCGGCGGGTTCCGCAACCTGCGGTGCTCGTACAGGAATCGCCTCCGCTCGCACTGCCATCAGCGCCGCATCGGCCTGGCGCAGTGCCTCCTGCGCTTTGGCCGCCTCGGCCTTGAAGTGCACGATGGCCCGATGGGCCTCCAGCAGGCTCTCGTTGGTCGCCTTGAGCTGGGCCGCCGCCTCCTTCTGCCACTCCGTGGCGGCCCGGACGCGGAGCGCCCGGGGCCGCGCCGCCTGAGCTGCTTGCTCCAAGGCGCGGATCTGACGGTCCTACTCCGTCGCTGTCACCCTTGCTCAGTATCGTTTAGCCAATCCCCATCCCCATCCCCATCCCCTTCGAGAGCCCCACCAGATTACCACTTCTGTTGGGGATACACCCCTCGAAACCCGAAGGGGACGACATATATCCCCATCTAGGGGGGGTAAATCGGCCAGTGATGCCCAGGCCGCACCGCTCTTGACCGCCCGGCGCTTCTTAGCCCCGGATGCTTTGTGGACCTGCGCGCTCGGGCGTTCGACGGTGCGACTCCACGCTGGCGCTCTGGTTTGCCGATGATTCCTCCCTCTCGTCCCTGCTCCCTCCTCTTTCCTCCCTCCCCCCTCCCTTCCCCCTCCTTCCGTCGCCGTTTTTGGCTCAGGCCATTTTGACCCATGTTTTGGCTCAGACCATAGTTCTGGGTTATGGCCCCCCAGGATGCTAGACATCCGGTGGGGATCTCGTTCGGGCGATTCTTCCCTCGATGCGGCGTTAAAGCGGTGTGGGAGGACAACGCAGTGGAGCGTCGCGCTGCACTTGTTCCGCGACGCATCTCAACAGTGTGCGAACATAAGCCCACGCCACTACGTTGTGTCTATCAGCGCGTTGGGAAAAGGCAGGCAGTGGCAACGCGCGCTGTCGCTTCTCACTGAAATGGTAAATAGGGGAACCAACAATGACACAAACATGACAACTCGGAGGTCCGCGCAGATCTCTCGGATTGGCGCTAGGGGCCCCCTGGCGGCGCCTCCGGCGCCGCCCCCTGGCGCGCTCCGCGCGCGCGGACCTTCGAGTTTTTATGTTCATGCCATGCTTCGTTTCCCTAGCAGAGTCGAAGGTTGAGTCCAACTGCCTCATCGGCTACAACGCTGGGATCAGCGCGTGCAGCAGCGGCGAGCAGTGGCAGCGGGCTCTGTCGCTTCTCCGCGAGATGCGGGGGGCGGCACCAGAGCCCGATGTCTTCAGCTACAACGCCGGGATCAGCGCGTGCGACAGGTGCAAGCAGTGGCAGCAGGCTCTGTCGCTGCTCGGCGAGATGTTGGAGGCGAAGGTGGAGCCCGACGTCATCAGCTTCAGCGCCGGGATGAGCGCGTGCGAGAAGGGTGAGCAGTGGCAGCAGGCTCTGTCGCTGCTCGGCGAGATGCGGGAGGCGGAGCTGGAGGTCGACGTCGTCAGCTGCGGTGCTGGAATCAGCGCGTGCAAGAGGGGCGCGCAGTGGCAGCAGGCTCTGTCACTGCTGAGCGAGGGGCGGGAGGCGAAGTTGAATCCTGACGTCATGTATTTTGCAACGCTCCAGGCAGCGCGTGCGAGAAATGCCTTTCCAGGCCCGGGGGGAGCTCCTGCCCCAGGGCACCTCCCCCAAACCATCTCTAGGCCAGCTCAAGATGGCCCCACGACAGTCCAAGAGGCCCCAAGACGGCCCCACGGCTCCTCTAGTTGCCCCTACGATTTGCAAAGACCAGCCCAAGAGGGCACCAACATTGCTCCGAGGCACACCAGCCAGCCCCACGACCCCGCCAAGCAGTTTCCAAGACCCCGACAGGCCCCCAGTTGAGATGCCCCCGAGTCCAAAGCCATTCCGCCCAGTTATATTTTTCACTGTTTCTGGCGTCCTCGCCCTGCCGACCCAGGACAACCCCCATGGGCCCAAGACGACTCCAACATGGTTCCAGGACTGCCACGAGATTACCCCAGGACCGTCCAAACGGCCAGCATGGTCCCAAGACAAGCCGAAGACTGCTACAAGCCAGTCCAAAAGGGCTCCAATACTCACACTTTCAAAAATGCATCAGCTGGCCCTGCTACCCGCTAAGATGAGCCCAAGACCACACAGACCCCTAACATGTCCCAACAGGCGCCCCAGAGGCCCCCAGGAGCTCCGAGCGATGGTGATGACCCCATCAGCACGTTGAAATCTATATCTCCCTGGCCACTTCTATTTCTTTTGGCCTCGTCGTCTTTCTGGCCCGGGACTGGTTCAGACGGGCTCAAGCCGGTCCCAGCAAATATAGTTCCAAGAGTGTGGAGGAGTAGAGAGAGCCCGTTTGGCGGGCGTGGCCGGGGTTGGATCGCTCTAGGGTGTGTTTTCGGCCGTCGGTGGGGGGTTTCAACGGGCCGCTGGGCGGAGTGGATTTTGGAGAGTGCTTCGTCAGCAATCTGGGGTATTGAGACTTACAATCGGTTCTCAACGGGTATCCCTGGATGCTTCTGGAACCTCTCTTCGGTCTGCACGAGTCCACCGAGGCGGCCCATTCAGGTCCACGAGGCGTGGGCGAGGCTCGCAAGAGAGGCTCCCATAGGCTCCCCGAGAGGGCGCACCAGCCAAACTGATGATTGACTTATGTTGTATGTGGCTCCGCCTCCGCCCGCTTCTCGCTCTCTCTCTCTCTCTCGTTCCCTCTCTTTCTCTTTCTCACTCTCGCCCTACAGAGGCACGCGTACACATCTACACGTATGTCTACGGACGTTTCTGTGTCCGGCAAGATCCCAAGCTTTTTGGCTTGTATTCCTTCAGAAGGTCTCGGGGACCCAAGACGGCCTCTCAAGAGTACCTTCTTGGGGCCCCCAGGGCCCTAGACAGCACAGGAGAGCCCAAGGTTCGCCCAAGACGGCCCCCTGAGGGCGCCAAACCAGTCCACGACAGCTCCGAGACTTCCCCTACGCGCCCCGAAACGGCCCCAGAGGGGAGCCACGAGTTGAGAGCAGCACCAACAGGCAGCAGACAGCATCAGGAAGCAGAGCGGGCAACCATCAGCACCAGAAGCAGCCTGCAGCCTGCAGCAGCAAGCAGAAAGCAGCGACAGCAGCACGCAGCAGCAGCGTGCAGCAACTGCAAGCGGCCGCAGGCATCAGCACGAACAAGCGGGAGCAGCAATCAATAGCAGGAGGATCCACCAGCAAGCGCAACTAGCCAGAAACATCACCTGCAGCAGCACGCAGAAGCAGCACACGGCACGTGACTCGCAGCAAGCAGCACGTAGTAACAGCATTAAGCATACCGAGCAAGCAGCATCACTTGCATCAGTAACCAGCGGCAGGCATGCCGTATCAACCGGCTCCTAGCAGTACCTAGCAGCGCCACGCTGCAGCCAGCACCAGCAAGCAGCAGCCAGCTGCGGCATTCGTGTGAGCAATGAACAGCGATTGGTAGCAAGCGTCGTGAAGAATTAGAACATGGCTGCAAGCGACAACGAGCGGATGAGCAAGCAATTCACCACCTACCAGACCACCCCAACCCAACCCGAAGGCCTCAATTTGCCCTTCATTTCCAGTGGGGGGGGGGGGGTCGGGGAACGTCGAAAAACACATGGAACCCGTACCCCCCCCAACCCGAAATTCGGGTCAAATTCAGGTCTTCGGGTTAGGTTGGGGTGGTTTGGTAGGTAGTCAGCAGTGACGCGCGCCCGGTGATCAGCACTGAGCACGACAAGCGCCATGCGATCCGCTCACGCGCTGCGTCGGGCCACCGGGCCAGAGAAAGCCGTCAGAGCAGGACGACCGACGGGCCAGCGGTCGAGCAGGCAGGCGATTTGCCTCACCCCTGGCATGCGAGAATACTTTCTCAGGAGGGGAAAAAACACACAGACACAATTAATCGTCGACTCCCAGGAAAATATGCAAAAATATGGGAAGTGGGGGGGAAGACAGAAACCCTGAAAATATGGGAAAATACGGGGAATATTTTTATCTGTGTGTATTTATTTGTGTGTCCTGGGGCCCCTTCACTTTCGCGGGGGCGAGTCAACTGGTCATTCCTAGCCATCGCAGACCTAGAGGTTGACACCAACGCCAAGATCGGCGGTGTGCCTCCACCGAGGGAAGACGATCCCGATCTCGGTGATGGTGGTAATGTTCTGGCTTCCAAGGTGACCGAACTGTTACCACCAACACCGAAATCTAGGATCGTCTTCCCCCTGCCGAGGCAACCCCCCTGTGTTGGTGTTGGTGCCAATTTCCAGGCCTCCAATAGCCAGCCTCATAACGGCAGGTCCAGGTCGTGCGATGAAGTCGGGGCCCGATTTCGGCCCAAGTTGTTGCACTCGCCCCCGCCGCGCCTCAGACCGCCCCGCCCCAGCCCCCAGGACGTTTCGAACGGCTCCGAACGGTCCCTCTGGGCGTCCAAGAGGGTTCCGAGAGCCCAATACAGCAGCCGAAAAAACCCGAAGAGGGCCATAAGATCGCAGGCTCCGGGCCCACGCCCCCCCCCAGATGGGATGGGTCCCAGGGTCCTCGGGCCGCCCCCCCCCCCAGATGGGATGGAGGGGTGGAGGAGGAGGAGGAGGATGAGGAGGAAGAGAAGGAGGAGGAGGAGGCGGAGGAGGAGGAGGAGGAGGAGGAGGAGGAGGAGGAGGAGGAGGACGACGGCGACGACGACGACGAAGACACCGTCCGCTCCGGCTCCCTGAAGCACCGGATCACAACGCCACACCCAGAAGGAGGCGATGACGGTGAAGATACCGTCGACGACGATGTTCCTTTTCCTCCTCCCCCCATCCGCCTCTATCCCTCCTTGTTTTTGGCCCTCTCTTCCCTACCTTGCCCCCCGCTCCCGCTTCCTCTCCCCATGTAGCCGCCACCCTCCGTCGGCAAAGGCTGAGGACGACGACGATGGCGAAGACGCCGACGCCGACTCGTGGCTGAGGCGGACCCCTAACCACCGCACACCCACAGGGGGGACCCCACACCACTCCCACAGGGGGGGCCACCACGCCACGCCCACGCCCACAGAGGGGGCGGGGGCCATCGCGCGGGGGGGTGGGGGCCCGATGGCATTAGCATTGGAGGGAGGGGTCCAAACCCTCGACCATATAATATACCGCCACGCGGCCCCAGAGGGTTCCAAGCTTACCCGAAGGTAGCCTCAGGCGGCACCAAGAGAGGCTCCAAGAGGCCGCAATGCACCCCGAGGTCCCACATCTTCCCAGACATAAGCGTCTCAAATGCTTTTTGTTATGCGTGCTTTTCGTGCCAGGTTGGCCTCAAGAGAGCTCAACAAGGCCCGCAGACGGCCCAACAGTGACGCAAGTCTCAAAGTCGGCAGCCCGCGAGGCTGCCAAAACAGCCCCAGACGACTCCCTGGAGCGCGACACCCCGGCCAAAGAGGGCCTCCAGGGAGCCCGACACCCCCAAGAGATGCCAAGAGGGCCCCATGAGGACCCCCCGAGGTCCCCCCTGAGACGCCCCAAACAGCCCAAACGTAGATTTCGCGGTCTTCGGATTGGCTGAAGATGGGCCCCAGAGGGCCCAAGGACATTTCCGAGAAGGCCCAGGGTTCTCTTACGCAGAAGCAGCGTCACGTTTCTGATGACTGCCCGCGCTCTACGAGCTTTTTCTCGTCCACAGTCTCCGCTCAACCATTCAAGGCTTTAACGGGATTCCTCCCCCCGTCTCTGCTCTACTTCTTTGGCTCCTCCTCCCCCGTGGCATCACCATTCCTTTCCAGTGGTCAGTGTTGAAGCATTACTCGGATCCCACACCTCTTGGGTGGCCTGGAAGTGTTTGCTCCAAGTGAGTCTTGATGCCAATCTTGGCATCCTGGGGCGCTTTGAGCGAACCCTCTTCTGCAAATGTGATTTCAGGGGTGCGTGGCACGGTTTTTACTTTGGGTCTCGACGTGGGTGCCCACGACATAGGACTTCGATGTCGGCGTCGAGGCGATCTCTTCGTGCGCCTCATTACACTCGCGTTCCTGCTGCAGTCCACGGCCTTGGCGGCAAGCATTCTGGACACCGGCTGCACCCGCCTGCCGTGGCTCTGCGCCACGAGCCCCGCCCGGTCTGCTACAACGCCGGCATCAGCGCGTGCGAGAAGGGAGAGCAGTGGCAGCGAGCCCTGTCGCTGCTCCAGGAGATGTGGAAGACGAAGCTGGAACCCGACGTCATGATCTCCACGCTGCATGCCCCCCCCATCCCTCCATCGCGGGCAGGGGTCCTGCCTCGCGTGCGGGTGGGATTCGGCACCCCAGCAGCCAGTTCGGACGGTCCCGCGGTCTTCGAGGAGACCCCAGGATCCCCCGAAGACAGTCCCGGAGGGCTCTGGGAGCCACAGGAGACAGTCCAAGAGGCCCCTCGACGCTCCACGAGTCGTGGGAGGGAAACATATCCATGTCCACGGCCTCGCGGGCTGGGCCCCTGGGCCGCGATCCCATGGATACGGGAAGTTGTTCGCCGGATGCTCCGCGCGGAACGTATCCATGCGACTGCGTATCCACGGGATCGCGCCCTGGAATCCAGACAGCGAGGGTGTGGATATGGATATGCTCGCCGCTCATGAACGACGCGTCCGAGAGGTTTCAAAGGAGGCCCCTGGGAGATGCTAAACACATCTAGAGTAGTTGAACATCCGGTGGTTACTCAATGCTTTTTCTTCGCCAGGTTTTCCAGCCCGAAATGGTTCCAGAAATGCTTCTCAGGGCCTCCGAGTCCCGAGTCCCCAGTACAGCCCCAGGAGGGCCCCAACACAGCCCAAAAGGAGCCCCCTGAGGTTCCCAAGACAGCCCACTGTCGGCCAAAGACGCCCCCATGGAGACAAGACCGGGGAAAGCCCCCATGCTCGTGAAGAAGGTCCCAGACGGCACCCAAGATTATCCCAGTACGGCGCAGATTGCCTCTCAGAGAGCCCCAGAGTGCACCTGGAGGCGTCCCAGCCAGCCGTACGGGCCCCAAGAGGGCCCTGAGACTCAGTTTCGGCAGCAGGCCCAGCAGCAGCAGCAGCAGCAGCAGCAGCAGCAGCAGCAGCAGCAGCAGCAGCTCAGCCGCAGCGGTGGCAGCCACGAGTAGCCAGCAGCAGCAAGCGGAATCAGCGAAGCAGCAGCAACGAGCAGCCGGCAAGCAGCACACAACGAGCAGCAGCAACCAGAAGCAGTAGACTGGCAGCAGCAGTAAGCATCAACTGGCAGCAGCACGCAGCAGCGAGTGGCAGCGAGCTGCAGCGAGTGGCAGCGGCGTGAGCGGCAGGAAGCGGCAGCACGAGGCAGACGTGCAGCGCCGTGCCCGCCGTGCCAGGTCGCGAGCAGGCCGGTCCTTTGAGATGTTTGGTCGTACCGTGCCGTGCCGAGCTCGCTGTGCCGAGCCGCGAACATGCCGACCCACTCATATGTTATGCTGCGACATGCCGCGTTGGCTCCTGTGTGCCGTGTCGCGAACAAGCCTGTCCTTCTGGTCAGTTACAACTCCGGAATCAGCGCGTGCGAGAAGAGCGGGTCGTGGCGCCAAGCGCTATGGTTGCTGAGAGACTTACGGAATGCAGGTTTGAAGCCAGACGTTGTTGGCTACAGCGCTGCAGTGAGCGCGTGCGAGAAAGGTGCACAATGGCAGCATGCGTTGTCACTGTTGAGAGAATTGCGCGAAACGCGGCTAACGCCAGACGGTATCATGTATGGCGCCGCGATCAGCGCCTGCGAGAAGGTTGCACTCTGGCAGGAGGCTCTGTCGCTGCTGCGGGAGCAGTGCCGATCGAAGCTGGATCCCGACGTCGTCAGCTACAGTGCTGCAGTCACTGCGTGCGAAAGGAGCGGACAGTGGCTGGAGGCACTGGCGCTGCTGAGGGATGTGCGCGGAGCAAAGCTGGAGCTGGACGATGTCGCCTACAACGCTGGAATCAGCGCGTGCGAGAAAGGAGGGCGATGGCAGCAGGCGCTGTTGTTGCTAGGGGAGCTGTGGGGAGCGTCGAGTGCTTCATATCCTGCGGGCAAGTCTGACCGCGCGAAGTGGTTAGGGGACGTGGTCGGTTTCAACGCTGCGATCACCGCATGTGGCAGTTGGGGAGAGTGGCCGCGGGCGCTGTCATTGTTCGGCGCATTGCGGCAATCGAATTTGCAGCCAACCCCAGTCAGCTACAACGCCGAAGTCAGGGCGTTCGGCAAATGCAGCGAATGGCCGCGAGCGTTGGTGTTGTTCGGCGAATTCTCGCAGGCGCAGTCGGAACTAGATTTGGCAACGCGCAGTGCTTGGATCAGCACGCACGAGGTAGGTGGGCAACTACCTTGTCTCGAGGCCTGTAATTTCTCATTGGCGAGTTGTGAAAGACAAAGCTGGACGCGCCTGTCTTCGATGTTGGCGTCCCGACTCTCTCAAGGCCGCGAGGCGGACGAAGAAATGCCGGGGGCTGCCCTTTTTTGATTTCTGCTGTATTCGCAGCGCCTGAGCATGGTGTAGATCACGGACATTCTTGTTCGGCTCGAGTAGAACGTATTGCATGTGCTTCTTGAGCTAACAGACGGTGCACTGCTCGCGAAGACCAGGGCCACAACAACGCGTAGACATGCCGCGGCAGATGACTACGTGCGGTGGCAGATTATGTATTGTCATAATGCCGCCTGGTTCGGCGACATTCCTCTCGAGATGGGCCTGGCGGTGTGTTGAACGAGTTCGACGAAGGCCTGACTCAATTGCCGGTTCGAGCAGCTTAGGGCCCTGAAGTTCTCGCGTGACTGCCTGGACGCCGTATCCGTCGAGCTTTCACGTCTAGATTCCATGTTGCGGCTGCAGAGCAATGTGGCTTGGTGCTCGTGCATGTGTGATCACGGGTTGGGCGTGGGAGTATTGAGGCACGAGCATTCTTGTTCGTGCTCCTGCTCCTTCTTTTTCTCCTGCTCCTCCCTGTTCAATTCTTGCTTTTTGTTTTCTCTGCCCTCTCCGCCTGCTTCTCCTCCCTCCCTGTTCCCTCCTCGCCTCCTCTGCCTCCTCATCCTCATGCTTCTCTGACTCTTCCTCCTCCCCCTCCTCCACCCCCGCCCAGCCAAGCGGGTGAGCCCAGCAGCCCACCCCTCCTCCACCCCCTCCTCCACCCCCGCCCCTCCAGACCCGCAGAGGCCAGGCGGGTGAGCCCCGCAGCGTAGGCTCGGTCCAAGGGGCCGCGGCGTGTCACTGCCACGACAGGCGCTCCCTCGGCGGGGGCCGCTCCCCCACCCCCGCCCTTCCTCCCCTCCTGCTCGGCCCGGGAGGCGGCAAAACCAGGACCCGGCGTTCCCAGCCACGCCTGCGAAGAGCGGCGCGCGCGCGCGACGGAGACCCGCACCGGCAGCGGGCCCCGCCACTGCTCGGGGAGACTCGGTCTGCGCGAAGTCCGGAGCCGGGCGTCACCACCTCCACGTCGCGCTTGTCCAGGGCGAGTGCAGCGCACCCGCAGTTTGCGCAACGTCGAGCCTCCAACAGGATTCGAGGGGACGTCCACACGAGAGGCAATACACATATCGCAGCAGCAGCGATTGGGCTGCGGCGTGTGGTCGAGCGATGCCCCGGCATGCCTGCGCCCTCGCGTGGCGGGCCGGGGATCCCGCTCATCTCCGGAGCAGGGCCACGTCGCGCACCCCCCCCCCTCGCGTGCGGTGGGCATTGGCGCCGCTGTAGGTGGCGCCTCCCACCCCAGCTCATGCGGTTGGGGGCATTGTGGAGGCCTCCTGGGACTTCTTCGGCGCCCCTCGGGGGAGTCTCTTTCGAGTCCCCTCGTAAGGTATCTGTAATCAGAAGCTCTGGCGAGGGGGGCGGTGTTCGGACGCGTGGTTCGAGGGGTGGGTCTGCCCTCGAAGAGGTTAGAAAAAACACCGGGCAACAGAAGGGCGTTCTCCCTCCCTCCCCCAACCCAAGAAAACATGCCATCACCCTTACGGCCGCAGGCTGAGCCACCCTGGCAGCAGTCCGAGGGCCGGTCGGAGCATATCCCAGGCCTCCGATCCTCGCGCCCAGGTGGGCCTGCCCAGGGCGCTCAGCGCCCCCATCGAAGCCAGAATTGGCAACGACGGAAGCAAGGGGATACCAGGGACGGGCGGACAAGTGAGGACCAGAGATGGGCGAGGAGGGGTGGAGGAGGAGGACGATGGAGACGAGGATTTGTGCGTGAAGAGGAAACAGGAGGAGAAGGAGGAGGAGGAACGGGAGGGTGAGGATGAAGGAGCATGGACGGAGTTGATAACGCCAACGACGACGACGATCAGTAGGAAGAATAATGCGGACTTCGATGAGGAAGCCGGCAAAGATAGGGGAGACGTTGGCGAGGATATGAGCGAAGTGCCGCCGAGGCCGGGGGCGATGGCGATGACGTGAGCGATGGTGATGACGATATCGTTTTGGACGCCGACGAGGATGGGGTGGACGATGGGGATGTTAGCGATGATAGTGAGAACGCACCTCACCATGCACGGACAGTCACAGGGACGCCGACGACGGGTGTGAAGATCATGTTTGGACGTTCTAGAGAGAGCTACCAAACCTCACCATAGGCAACACAGGGCAGCGAACCTTACAATAGTACAACAGCTTCACCGCGAACATCAGGAAGCCTAATGAGTACGAAAATGCATTGGTTTACGCGTCAGCCCTGATCTCGTGCCGCACCGCTCTATCAGTGGAGATTTGTGGCCGCGATAGGTTCAGGCCACTGCGTGACCGACCTGGCGATAACTGGCTACACCAGTTCCCTAGTAAACGTGGCCAGCGGATCGAAGAGGAAATTCTGTGGCACGCGCAGATCCCATCATCAGACTAGCACATGTGCTCCACCAACCAGACTTGGGCGGTCAACCCATACCCAGGAGTGGAGTACAACCATCGGCTGGAGGGTCGCAACCTTGGACGACGCCTAGCGTCAGGTTTCCAGACTTCACCCACTGGCAGGCCGTAGGGCCTTTCCATGGAACCCGTGACCAGCCGGCAGCAAGGCTGCGTACCCAAAGCTAACCTCGGAGTTCTGTGGGGCCTGGGGCGTCAGTGAAGCGAGGGAGGGTGCCCAGAACGAAGACCGGTGCATGGGTACCACCGATCGCCAGCGCATGATGGGCAGGAAGCGTACTGATGCGTGGGAACCACCGATCGCCAGCGCATGACGTGAGGATGGACCATGATCGCCTGGACCATGGGAAGAGCACGGGCAGGCGCCCGCGGGCGGGCTCCGCACATGGCAAACGACCTATAGAGCGGGGACCCCACCGTAGCGCAAGTCACAACTCATGGTGCCCAGTTGTGTTCACCGTGCGTGTGTCTTGATTCGTTCGTCACGGCCCTCCCCACGCAGCACTCAAGGATGGTGATTCTGGCGCGCCGTTGACGGCAACACCACTTCGCTCTCCCTCCGGGACTTTGCCCCCGGCTCCTGTCCAATGCGTACCTTTTCTTGTGCAAGCTCTCGCCTGTACTCCGCACCCTCCGGCCGCCTGAGGTCCCGCCCGCCTGCGCCCTGTCTCCCCAATTAGTGCTTCGCGCGCCCCGCCTAGCTCTTAACCAGAAGAGGCCCGCTCTCGAGCCGCAGACCAAAAAGTGTGTCTTGATTCGCAGTTTCGTTGACCACGCTGTGCGCAAGTCTTGATGGTGCCGTGACCACTCGTCACCATGATCAGGACGTCACCGCTCTTGTTCGGCGGCGAGCCCAGGGTGGAAGCGAGAAGGGGCGGGCCTTCTCAGGAGGCTCGGAAATCCCCTGGCCTTCTGAGAAGGTTTCTGAGCCTTTCGCGGAGACCCAGAACATTTCTCAGCAGGCGCGAGGGATTCTGAGAAGTCCCGCAGCCTTCTGAGAATCCCATCTCCTTCTCATTTCCCCTCCTCGCTCGCCGCCGATTTGTTTTGTCGCGTTAGCTTCAGCTTCCACCAGTGACGTGCGAATTTATCTAAGGTTGCAGGTAACTGACCCGACCTGGGCCATGAGGTCGTGGGGGGGTGTTTCAGTGAAGGCACCCGGTTACTGTACAACCGCTGGCGTTTGGCTCAACTGTTGAGCTCCGCGTTAGCGCGGCACGACACCTTGTGGTACCCTTCTCTGTCTTCGTGGGCAACAGGGCCCCATTCTCATTGCCGCCGTTCTGCGAAAATTGCAGGGAGAGGCGGGGCAGGATGGCCAGGGTAAATACGATATGCTTCAACGATGCTGCAATACGGCCATCCGTCCCTATTCCGATGCTGCAATACGGGTCGAGGGCGAACCTCTTCCGCAATGTTCCACTCCTCACAAGCACCATACGAGAATATCTATTCATTGCAGGAGGTCCCCCCTTGGAAAGACGAACGCTTCAGTATCTTGCAACCCGAACGTTCGCCTCGCTTTGAAAAAGGAGCCACCGTCCAGGCTGCTATCTACAAGGAACGTGTCCAGCGATGCTCCCGCTTGGAGATAAACAACCGCCCTGAGTCCGTGTAGGTTTTTTTTCCGACGCCGCGTCTTGTAATGACATCCGAGGAAGTCTCGAGCGAGAGAGCTCCGAGCTGAAAAGGAGTTGCCCTCCATCCGTGCAGCCGTCGCGC